ACAGGCAGAAGCTTATGGAAGAAGCAAGTGAACATTCACAGCTGAAGGGAACATTTCTCATGTACAGTGGGGCAAGCAAGAGGAAGAAACTCATGAAACAGGGAGTCAGTAGCCCTGTTTGTAGATTGGGATGCTCATGAGGAAAGGGGATTTGTTTGCCAGGCCCCAAACATGACAGAGTATAGAAATTTTTTTTCCCTAAGAAAACAGAGAACACTGGGAGGAGTTTGCTCAGCTGAACACACTTGGATTACAGAGCAGGCCTGTGTCGGAATATGCCTCCTAGTGACACTGGAGATTGGCAGCTTAGATTTGCTGTCAGACCTGTTAATTTGATCTGTCTCACCTGGGTATTCTGAGCTGGTTTGGGGTTTTTTTATTTAAAAGAGTGATTTTGTTCAGCTTAGTATTTTGCGTTCTCTTGATAGGCCACTTTCAGGACAGAAGCATTTTGCTGTCTCCAAGACCTTCCTCACCTCATGAAAGTTGGGGGAGTTTTGCCTCCATGCTCCTGCCAGCTCAGGGCCCCTTAAAAAGGGCTTGATCAACTCAGATATTTCCAGAAATGTATGCTGGGCATGAAATACTCTTACTCTTTTCCTAAATTAACTGTAGTTAACATATTGCTTAGATGGTTTTCTTCCCTTTTGGGGCACATTCCTCCCAGCAGAATTGGGTACACGTTAAATCTATTATTTGGGAGCAGAAAGGAATCAGCTCTCTGCAACACATACTTGCCATGGACTTACAAATGCTCCTTTGGACTAAAAATGTATTTTCTTGCTTGGAAGGTATATTGTTAGTAATAGAAATCTCACAATTGCTGCATGAAGTCATTCTCCCCCTGCTTTCTGCAGATAATTGTTGTGGCATCCCTGTTCAGAACTGCGATCGCTGGCTTTCAAGGCTCCAGGCAGCTGCAAAAATATTTTCTCTGTCTTGAAACATAGAAATATGTTGGTTTTTTTCATGTACATAAAATCGTTCCATACAAATTCTCAATGGCCCAGTCACACGACCATTGCAGGAGGAAGAAGCAGTACTCAGTGGCATTTATATGGGATAGCGACTAGAAGCCTTATATTTGCAAGCTATTAGTAGAGAGGAAAGAATGGAGGAGCTGCTAATAAGTAGTGTCTAGGAATTGGCTGATTTTGTCAACTCAGGTCCCAAGGAAGTTCATTAAAAAGCATGAAGGATATTAGAAGTTCAAACTTTGGCTGAAAACCAGTAAATGCTAATTAATGAGTGCCATGAGATCTGATGCAGCATTTGGAATGCCAGCAGCTATAGACCATCCAAGCTTGAAGAGAATGGGCAATTATTGAACTACGATTGGTTTTAATATAAATTAAAATAGGTAGCCTTCAAGAGAGAGGAGGTAGCAATTAGTTGTGATCCCCTACCCTTCCCTCACACAATGTCATATAGATACACTATTTCTATCATAGGTATAGAGCCGAATTACAGGCTGCTTTAATTATGAGGCTGACCATCTATGCTAATCTGCTTTTTGTTTCACATAGTAATTTCTGTAACTTTCCACAACCAACCTGAATACTAAATTATTTGCAAGGAACACTATTCTGAAAGGTCACCTGCCTAAAGCTAATTATACTAAACAATCAGAAGGCACTTACCTCTCCCTTACTTGAACTTGCATTCTGCAAGATACAAGCTTATCCTCTGAGACAAATATTTTTTCTTCCAAATATGAATTAATTTGCAAGTGTATAGTCTCAAAAAAAGAATTCATTACTGATGGGGAAAAAACTGAGAGCAATTTAGGTCATTATTTTTGAGAGGTAGCCTTTATAGATTTGATTATCATAAAATCCTTAAATCTTTCTGTAGAAGACCCAGAAGGACCCCTCATCACAGCTGAATATTGTTAGTAGCATCCACTTAAAAAAAAAAGTCATTCATCATATTCTTATTTTCATTCAGAAAAATAATGTTACATTATTTATGTAAAACATAAATGAAAAAATAAATTATGTAAAACAGCATTTATGTGGGGGTGGTGATCAAAGTGTTCATCACATTATGAATTTAAAATTAAGACTACAGATAAAGTGACTCAACCTGTGAGGCAAAGGGAGGCTGAAATGGCAGTGCCAGAAGCAAAATTCAAGAAAGAAAATATATCTGATCAAGCCCTTCTGGAGCCTGTATTAGTGACTTTGGTTCCCTATCCCAGGCATTTGTATAACTAGGAAGCAGCTGTGGAAAAATGGAGTTGCAGTGTTTAAAATAAGATTAGAATGAGCCCCCAGAAAACTTAATATGGACAAGTGAATTACAATGTGACTCATCTGCAGTGGTACGGGTTGGCTAATACTCTCCCTCCTTACTTACTTACTCAACTTTAATTATTAGCTTATATTTCAAGTTTAAAAGAGGGCCTTTGTTTCAGACTTTCTTTAGCACAATACTTAAACTTTTCTTTAGACATATCTTTGAGATATTTGAATATAAAACTGTAGGAAGTCTAAATAGGATGAAAAACAGATTGGGTTGTATGGTATGCCAATATTCAGACTAGAGTTTGGCAAATTTAGGAAGATGAGATATGTAAGAGTAGTAGAAGTTTTGCTTTTACAGATACTATTTTCCATTCTCCTTAACATGTGAACACACAACAATTATCACCTGAAGAGGTTAATATCTGTGTCACTGTTTAGGAATTAGTTGTCTAGAAAAATCTGGTAAAATGAGAATTCTTTGATACCTTTGAGTCCTCGAAAGCCCAGAAAGACTAAATCTGCAGCTTAACTACAGGCTAGATTGTACGGTACTTGGCTAAAAGGTTAACTTTTGTAAGCAGGCTGTACTTTTATGAGGATGACCACCCTCTAGATTCCACAAAAACACTGGTCTTTGCAAATACAGTTTTGGAGTCAGCGTGGAGTAGACAGTAGTGTTCAGTGGAAATGGAAAAAGTAAGGAGTCTTGGCATGCTGCACTCAAATACCACCAAATAAAATGCGGAGAGAGAGAGAAAGTCCTTGGAACAGAGTTGGGAACCCAGATCTTTCCTCTCCCGCATCAACTTCCCACCACTAGACTAGATAGGTTTTCATGTTTGTTCTTTTTCTAATTCACTGCTATAACAAGAGAAAGATCTTCTCCCAGCCACTATGCAGAAAAAGGCAGATTGCCTTCAACAAGAAATCAAACCCAAGGCTCCCATAGCATGGGTGAGTGGGCAACTTCAGAGCAGTTGAATAAAAGGCCATGAGGAGGGTTGCCCACAGTAGGTTCATCCTACAGAGAGCAACAACTGTAGACTCATATGCAGAGCACGTATCTTAGACTAATCCTCTCTGATGTACAAGAAGCAGGGAAGCATGTCATGTCTGGATCATGACAGAGCTTAGCTACAATATGGACACCAGTCATCTTGGTCCTTTCTGTGTTTTTGAAAGAAACGTCTGTTAACAGTCATCTGCTTTGTTGCAGAAGATTGATGGAGAATATTTCTAATGGGGATAAAAACCCTCTTATGTTCAGAAGAGAACATCTGGCTGCTATGGAGCTAGAGTGCAATTCCAGCTGCTTTTTTTAGTATTTTCAACTTGTGAAATTAGACGAAATTGTGTACTTTGAGGTGCTAAACATTCCCATGTCATGTTGGGGGCCTAAATAATGGTCATAATCATCTCTGAGTGGTGGAAATTACCACTAATCTGAAAAACAGTGAACTTCATTGGGACAACTTTAGGAATCTTCATTGTATGGAATTACTCCCATCCTATCCTAATGCCATTAGATGGCACTGTATTTTGTCCCTGCGGAACTTATATACAGTGAAGGACTCCACATGAGAACAGGGAATCTGAGCAGAGAGCTTCTGCAGCCGGGAGTGCTAGTCTGTTCATGTAACTCCAAATCCACCTTTTATAAACTATAGAAATTTCACAACACACATTTTAGCTGCCTGTTTTTCTGTATGGTAGTACTTCTTTGGAGGGAGTCACTATAAACTGAGATTTTTTTTAAGAAAGGAAGATCAGTTTCGGTCTCACACCTTCTCATTTTTCATGAGTTATGAGATAAACAGTATGTCTGCTGATAACACTTTATGTAACACTAGTATCACTTGCTTGGTAACACATTTGGTTCAAACGGAGCTTGACCCAAAGCATACTGAGGTAGTCTTCCATTGCCTCTGAGTCAAAGCCCTGCACAAAATACCACACAAGCTTTATTTTCTTACCAGTTTACCTTCTGTTATGCTGGAG